CGCGCACACACACACACACACACACACACACACACACACACACACACACACACACACACACACACACACCCAGTGATCTCCTGCTGACCACCATGTTGTCCACCAGAGGAATGACCATGTTGAATTTGCCCACAGCGCCGTGCAGTTTGATCCGAAACAGGCCGGTCTTCAGCGGATGGATGAATATTATGGGAACATCCTTCTCTGAGGAGCTGGACCTGAGAGAGACCACGTGTGACAGTGAATGAGATCGATGGATTCAGGGACTGAAATCGGTCTTTCAAACTGTTTGTTACCTGGAAGCGCTGCTGTTGACTGCCGTCTCCACACCGGTGCTCGTCTCCGCCAATAACTCAGACACGGGAAAGTTCTCTGAAAGAAAACGCACACAAGGAAAAGTAATGATTTATTAATCAAAGAGCCACAAAGAACGCATCTATTTTACATCTTAAGTGGAAGTAAATGGAAAACATTTTACCTATGTCATCGTATCGCTCAACCCACACGACCAACACTTTGGCGTCTGGTCCTAACGGCGGTATCGTCCTGCCAGCCGGCAACTTCCTGCTTTTCACTGTCGGGGACTGAGCGCAAGAATAAACATTACACTCTACTGGTCAAAAACCTGGAACAATCAAGATTTGTTAATGATTTGGAATAAGTCTCTTCTGCTCACCAAGGCTGCATTTATTTGATAAAAAAATACAGTAAAAACAGTGAAATATTATTACAATTTAAAATAACTGTTTTGCATGTGAATGTATAGTAAAATGTAATTTATTTCTGTGATCAAAGCTGTATTTTCAGCATCATTACTCCAGTCTTCAGTGTCACATGATCTTCAGAAATCATTCTAATATGCTGATTTGCTGCTCAAGAAACATTTCTGATTATTATCACTGCTGAAAACAGTCGTGCTGCACAATATTTTGAGGAAACTGTGATACACTACCATTCAAAAGTTTGGGGATAGTATTTATGTATTTTTTTTTTTTAAGAAATTAATACTTTTATTCATCAAGGATGCATTAAATTGATCAAAAGTGACAGTGAAGACATGTACAATGTTACAAACGATTTCTATTTCAAATAAATGCTGTTCTTTTGAACTTTCTATTCATCTGTGAATCCTGAAAAATAAAATGTATCACAGTTTCCACAAAAATATTAATGTTTTCAACATTGATAATTATCAGAAATGTTTCTTGAGCAGCAAATCAGCATATTAGAATGATTTCTGAAGATCATGTGACACTGAAGACTGGAGGAATGATGCTGAAAATACAGCTGCGCATCACAGAAATAAATTACAGTTTAACAGATATTCACATAGAAAACAGCTGTTTTAAATTGTAAATGCAGCCCTGGTGAGCAGAAGAGACTTCTTTTTAAAAATATAATTAAGATCTTTTAATTCCAAACTCTATACTCTCTCTCTCTATGTATATATGTGCATGTATGTATGAGAACAGCAGTCAAGGACAAATGTGACCCTGGAGCACAAAAGCAGTCTTAAGTCGCTGGGGTATATTTGTAGCAATAGCCAACAATACATTGTATGGGTCAAAATTATAGATTTTTCTTTTATGCCAAAAATCATTAGGATATTAAAGGGGTCCCATTATGCTTTTTCACTTTTTTAATTTTAGCCAGTGTGTAGTGTGTAAGTCCACTCCAAAGGGAGATTTTTAAAAATCCCTTTTCAAGAACTACAACGAACGGCTCGTTTAGACTACAGCGTTTGTTTTCTGGGTTTTGAGATATCACAAAGCGGCCCATTAGAATATCATTAAAATAATTCCCACCTACGGAAATTCGAATGGTTGAGGGGGTGGGGAGGGGCGAGGTCGTGGTTAGAGTGCTTGGTTGAGTGCATCAGATGAGACGACAAAGAAGAAGAAGTGCTGCTGCAGAGTTACTGCATAACGAAAAAGAAGAAGAGCTGCTGTAGCATCAAGTTTTCGGCATGTCTAAAGGCGGTCGCACACTGGAGACGGAGAGAAGCTCAGCGCCGCATCTAGAACAATTCTTACAACAAGTACAACATGACATAGCTGGGCGCCGCGGACAGACGCCGAATGGCGCCGCTGGTGTGAGTACACTCAGAAAATAATGTGTTCGAATTTCAAAGACGTGGCGCAACGCGACGCTGCGTTGCGCTTCTCATCCGGTGTGCGACCACCTTAAGAAACGCTGTTTGTTTTCACCCCCATGCCCAAACATCTTTGTTTGGGCTTCTGAAAGCGGATGATGTCAGGAAACAGTGGTTGCAATTTATTTTTAACTCTTGTTCCTAACATTATAACCCCAATTTGCTATTGTGTGCTGCACATTTTACTGAAGACAGCTTCCACAACATGAGGGAGTACAGTGCCGGTTTCGCCAAAAAGCTTTTGTTGAAAGACGGAGCAATTCGCCAATCACAACGCACTGGGACAGTTAACCAATCACAACACATTTAGTTTTTCGGAAGGCAGGCCTTCATCAAACCCGGAACTAATCGAGCCGTTTGTGCCACGCTGGGGAGAAAGGTACTTTAATAATGTAAATTATGTGAAAAATGCGTTTTTCGAACCACCAAGCATGAGAGCATGTTCTAGTACACCCCCAAAACAAAATCAAGACTTTGTAAAATAGTACACCCCCAAAACAAAATCAAGACCTTGTAAAAGAGCATAATAGGACCCCTTTAAGTAAAGATCATGTTCCATAAAGATATTTAGTAAATGTCCTACCGTAAATGTATTAAAAAACGTAATTTTTGATTAGTAATATGCATTGCTAAGAACTTAATTTGGACAACTTTAAAGGCGATTTTCTCAATATTTAAATTGTTTTGCACCCTCAGATGCCAAATATTGTCCTATCATAACAAACCATACATCAATGGAAAGCTTATTTATTCAGCTTTCAGATGATGTATACATCTCAATTTCAAAAAATTGACCCTTATGACTGGTTTCGTGGTCTAGGGTCAAAAATGTGTAACACTGAGGTAAACAGTTGCAATGGGAAAAGCTGTGTTTTGCTGGCAGATGTAATTAGTGACAGACCAATACACTGGCAGGTTAAACTGCCTCATAACTGCAGTGATCTGAAGCTCAGGTCTGAGAGTGAGCTTAGTTACCCGTTGTGCTGGTCCCATGTTGTCGGAGTGGTTGGGGAAGAGCTCCAGCGTCAGGTTGGGTTGCTTCAGTAAACTGGGTAACAGCTCCATCTGAGAGTCTGAGTCTGCGGTCGGGAAGCTGTGCTCCGATGACTCGGCTACGGTAGGAGAGATGAACATTTGTCATATTAAATGAATCAATATGAATTCACTAAATGGGTTAACGAGAGATGGAGAAATCAATACTCCACAGTGTGCTAGAAAGGACGCTTGCTGCCTCAAATTCAGTTCTGTTCAGCTACAAATTACACAAATACAGACACTAATCCAAAAGCATGCAGAAACTGAGCAGACAGAGTGTTTTACCGGACGAGTCGCCGAGGGACGGCACGACAAAGGCGATTTCCGTCAGAGCGTCTGCGTAATAGAGCACCCGCTTCTCTCCATTAAACACACCGCCGCCAGTGTCACCCAGAGTCACTGAATCATCTGCACACACACACACACACGACACTGCATCCGCACTCACATTACTACACGCTATGATGAATCACTGTGTGGATCAAACAAAGTCAGCTAGTGTTTCATCTTTATAGTCGGATCATGAGAAGACTGATAAAAGTCTGTATGTCTTCAGATAATCATGCCGACTTATGTTTGTTGTATATTGTAATGATTATATTTATAAAGATGAAGGACAAATATTTTCTTGTCATCTTATTTTTAACATGACAAAACTGTGCTAATCTGTTAAATTAGCCAATGTGATAAGTGCTCTACTTAAAATAAACCAGTTGTTATTAACTAAAGCTATTATAAAATCATCTTTTTTTATTCTAATCAAGCTGTAATCAACTAAAATATAAATATTAGATAAAAAAATTTTTTTATGAAAATTGGAAATGCTGCCTTGGCAACTAACTGAAATAAAATAAGTCTAAATGGTACTAAGTACTAAAATTACTAAAACTAAAATAAAAATGAATTAAAAGAAAAAAACAAAGAAAGAAAAAAAAGCACATAAAATTACTAAAATTTAAAATTAAAATGAAAACTGAAAATTTTAAATTAAAATATTTATAACTAAAAAGAATAAATTATTAATAAATAAATCAATATGGTATATAATGGTATGTAAATAATACTAAATTAACACTTAAATAAACACATCAGAAGTGTACTGTTTATTCTCATTAGAAATGTTGCCTTGGTGACTAAATTAAATAAAATAAGTTGGAAGTTGAAGTACTAAAATTACAAAAAAAACAAACAAAAAAAAACAAACAAACAAAAAAGAATTAAAGAGAAATAAAAAAAAATAAAAAAGACAAAAGCACATAACAAAATTAAAAAACAAAAAAACTAATTTGAAAATATAAAAATAAATGTGAATTCAAAATATTAATAGATACAACAATAGTTCAAAAGATAATACTTAAATACCAAAAAAAAACTAAACAAAAAACAAAGTATCATATATCCTCACTTTAATAGGAAACGTATGTGTGTGTGTGTGTGTGTGAGTGTGTGCGAGTGTGTGTGTGTGAGTGCGAGTGAGTGTGTGTGAGTGTGCGTTTGTGAGTGCATGTGAGTGTGTGTGTGTGAGTGTGCGTGTGAGTGAGTGTGCGTCGTGTGTACCTGGTGTCTCAGCGCCGTTGGATGTGTTGATAGTCCAGCTGGTGAACACACTCCCCGTCCATCCCGGATGCTGTCCGACCTCCACCGGCCATCCCAGAGACAACAGCAGCTCCAGAAAGTGTGGCTGTACGTTTGCTGACGACTCCACATTCCTCAAAATCTACACACACAAGCTCAGTATTAATAAAGCTGATCTCTGCTCACCTGTGACTGCACATCAGCTGCACTCTAGCCGTGCTCAGTGTGCACATTCCCAGCAGGACACTGAAGAGGATTCACCTCTTGGCTGCTCTTCTGTCCAGCTTTCATGTAGAAGATAAACACGGTGTCACACGGCCGGGACGGTAACAGGTCCAGGTAGCCGATGTCGTCGAAAAAGCCCGGCACGGATGAGTCCAGAGCGATGAGGTGAGGAGGCAGTCGACTGTTTCCAGGCTCCTGAGACAAAAACACAAAGCATCAGTTAGATTTAACTCAATGTTTTTTCCTGCCATTAATACAGGAAAAAACATTATTACTGAGAAAAATCCATGCTTAAAACTAAAAAATCTGAATCTAGAACATTGGATAATTCTGCATAAGTGTAGCTAGAGGAGAGGCAAATTAAAAAATAAATAAAATAAAAAAATACAATAAAACTAAAATAGGCAGTAAAATTTATAAAAAAATATTATATAACTCACAAATGCAGTGTGATATAGTGATATAGCATAAATATACTTTTACAATAATTTTATAATTTTATAATTAATTTAGCATATTATTGTGCAAAATATGCACTCCACACTCTTAGTGTAACTTGGTGAGGCTTGTCAGCAGTTATTTTTTTATGAAATAAATTAAAATAAAAAAATTAAATTAAATAAAAAAAAAAAAAATATATATATAAAATAAAAATCACAAACACTGTGATATTGTTTAAAAATATTTGTATAATACATTTTTACATTTACATTATTAATTACGTTAATTATTAAATTAAAATAAAAACTATAAAAATGAAAGCGAATTCAAAATATAAAAAACAGTAGTAGTATATAAATAATACTAAATTAACAAAAAATGCATCATATATCCTCATTCAGATAGGAAATGTGTGTGTTTTATATAAAATAAAAATCACAAACGCTGTGATATATTGGTTAAAAATATTTTTATAATACATTTTTTAAATTTACATTATTAATTGTTAATTATTAAATTAAAAATATAAAAATAAAAGCGAATTCAAAATATAAAAAAATACATTTATCTTCATTTAGATAGGAAACGTGTGTTTGATATAAAATAAAATAAAACCACAAAAGCTGTGTGATATTGTTTAAAAATATTTTTATAATACTTTTTTTTTGTAATTTTACATAATTGTGCACAATATTTACCCAAAACTCATTCCAAAGTATGTAATTTGAATCAGAACTAACAGCTGGAACTGATCCAAAGGAACAGCTGAAATACTGAAAAATCTCAAAGATACTGGCCGATCTGTCAGTCCTTCACTAACAGAGACATTCAAAGCAAACATGTGACGGTCCGTTCTCGTACCTTGAGCGCCTCTAGTGACAGGAAGCCAAAGTGCGACAGGAAGAGGCGGGCCGTCTGGAACTCTTGAGCGGGAGCTGGCGGTTTACAGTCTGTCAGCGGGTCTGGGAAGGGTTTGTTCCTCCATAACTCCTCCGTACAGTGCTCCAGTTTCGTCTCGTAATCTATCTGCTTTCCCATCACGGCTCGCAGCTTATCGTGCTGCTGCTCCAACTGAAACACACACACACACATACTTGCATTTGTGGTTTACGGGGACTCTCTATAGGCGTAATGGTTTTTATACTGTACAAACTGTATTTTCTATCGCCCTAC